CAAATGCCTCCTGGTTTTAACAGGACAATTAAGCCATTTTCTTTAGTCAAACGCGAATCAGACTGACCGTCAGCCTAACAGTTCTGATTATGGCTAATGTTCATGCACAACGAAGCTTTCAAAGTCAACATGTCAGTCCAGATCTGGCTAAGACGTTACCAAACAAGCCTTTCTCATTGCCTGGGTTGCGCCCCGAAGCTTCACAGAGCGAAGCTTATGACAGTATATTATTCTTGAGACAGTTGACAGATTTTTATCAGGAGACTTGTGATATTAAAAGCAGGCTGATAGAGTCATAATGTCTTGCCATTATTACATTCTCAAGTACCTGACACGGTCCTCTAAATTAGTTTGGGTTCAGGGGGAAATTAAGGGGACAAAGCTGCTTAAATGGCAGCTCCCTGAAGACGTTCAAAACCTGCTGCCCTCTCATTCACAGAACTCCATTTACAATCGTCTGATACGCAGGAATGCAAGAAAATCGTTTAGATGGTTTAACTGTTTCTTCTTTTACTTGATAAATTACTTAAAGATAAAATCTGTAATCACTCAGTAATTTGCTGTTAATCGACTTTGCACTGTGTGAACATTTTAGCACTATAGGTGGAAGCAAATTGGCTCAGTATGTTCAGTGGCATATGATTAGTCAAATCTTAGCACAATGTATGAAAACTCCAATTATAAGCAGTATGTGCACACTTACTCAACCATTTTTAATACTGAATTCTTATTAACTATTAATATTAATTTAATAATTCAAAAGGTATAAAATCTAATTTAATGAGTTTTCATTTCAGGTTCTCAGGGCCTTTAATTCCCACTCTACTATACAGTATGAGGCTTTTTTTATACTGTCCCATGAATAACTGTACATACATTTACTATACTAACTGCATATATGTACACCTTATTCTCTATTATGTGAAACTGATGTTGGCATAGTTAATTTAGCTGTACAACTGATTTTTTAGGGTTAAGTTTTTGTAGTTCTGATCATCATTTCTATCAGTAAAAATAAAACAGTGCGAAGAATAAAAAGACTGATGGGACCAGAAACATGAGCCAGATGATCACGCAGGTTTTAAACCACAAGGTAAACTTATTTGGAGGTTCTCAACTGCAAAGGGTTAAAAACAAACAAAGAACATACAAATAACAATGAATAACAACAAATAAGCCCTTATTAACTACCTCTCATGGTGTCTATCCTTGATAGTATTTAAAGTTACATAATTATTATAATATTGTTCTTATAAAACAGAGATTAAAGTCTTTTTTCTGTACATATTTTAAACAAATAAAGAGAGTTCTGGCCTCAGCTTTCACACTGTTTAGGAGAAGATTAGATGTTAACACAAAAATAAGACCCAAGTTTTAATATACTGGAAAAGCAGGCTAATATTCCTCCTGTGGACTAAAATGTAACAGTTAACCTGGACCAGGTGTAACTACACACACACACACACACACACACACATATATACTGCAGACAGAGGGAGAGCGCGCTGCATCTGCTCTGTGTCTGCAGTATATTGTGAGTGTGGACAGGCAGGATTATAAGGTGTTTTGAAATGCTCTTGTAATCCCACGGCAGCAGGATTGCACATATGTGCCCAATCAAAAAGGACACACACACACACACTTACACTTCTATCCTTCTATTTTAAAATGCTCCAACAATGCTTAACGCTCCTCCCTTGTCTCCCTGGACACCACAGCATCTGTTGCCCATAGCGATTATCTGGTGATTACATGAAAGCAGTGGCCAAATTCTATTTAGACTCATTGTCCTCTTTCTCTCTCCATCCCCTTGTTTCTCTTACAGCTATATGTCCTTCCCCACATCACTCTATTTTAATCTCCCACTACAGTATCTCTCACTACACACACACACAACACACACACACACACACACACACCTTCTTCTCTTTCTCAGGTGCAATATTAGTGACCTCTTCTATTGCCTAGAGACTACTTCAGTGAAGCGTACTGCTGCAGTGGTACGCAGTCATAAGGACAGCTTGTACAGCAGACATCCACTCTCACATCCACTCACACACGATCGATTAGATCTGCTTCAAACACACTACATGACCAAAAGTATGTAGACAGCTGGACATTTCACCCATACGATAAGGTCTGCGTTTAAATTTATCCCAAAGGTGCTGGATGGAGTTGGGGTCAGGGCTCTGTGCAGACCAGTCAAGGGTAACTTTATTTTACCCTTGACTTCCATTTAACACTTTCACTTAGTATAGTAGTATTAGTATAGTTTCCAAGGATGATTTCTGGACATAACTATGAAGCATAGTACTACAGTGATTATAGGGGAAGTCTATAAGTATATTTTTTTATATTTATTCAGGCAATCAAGTAAATTGTTCATTTACTTTTTGCTGTGAAAGACTTTCTATGCATGAATAGATTACTGAGTGTGCTTGGGCCTCTTCTTTTTTATTGTATTTTTGTTAATTTTGCAAATGTAGGCGACCTACAACAAATTCAGTTAAACTATTTAAATATATGTTTGACAGGAAAATAGCTCAGCTTTAACTGCATATAATGCATCAAAGGTTTCCTGTGGTATGCTATAGTATTTGAGAGCTGCTCTGGTAGTGTCTCATTATTCATCCATGTCTGTAAGTTATGTTAGCAATTAACTGTAATTAATTATTTGGAAGTGTATCAATTAAACACCACCTATATCTTCCTGAAAGTTAGTATCATACAATACAAAATCATTCCAGGAAAACTGCCTATGACTTTAAACTAAATTGAAAATATGATATATGGAGTTAAGTGATACATGAGATAAAGTATCTTTATGCACCTGTCTTTGTGCACAGGAGCATTATACTGTCTAAAATATGCTGCAGCGTTAAGTTTTGTGTTAAGTTTTCCCTTAACTGGAACAAAGGGGCTCAGTCCAAACACTGAAGTACAATCACAGTAGAAGTTATTGTGGCCTTGTCGTGTACTTGTGCAGCCTCTAGTGGCTCCACTCTGAACTGCAGTGCAGTGCACTCAATTCTTCATATAGACAGAATCCTTCTGCTATACAGTATTTGTATTTACATGCACATGTCTAGGTCTAAATAGGCATACTGAAGGAGTATGTCGTACATATGTGCTTCATATGAACCTCATTTAAGGCTCTTCTGTTTCCCATAACAGAAAGGAGATTGATGTATAGTTTCACTTGTGTTTAAAAGAGATACATTTGAAACGCATACATAAACACATAAGCATGTATTAACACTTTCTCTATCTCACATATGCATCCAGAAACACACACACACACACTCAAGCGCAGCATGTGGGCGGCATCCCCAGCACTGTGAAACATCTTGCATCCCACATGCTTATATAACTCCCTCTCCACCTCCTCCAGCTGATCACTCATCACTTTATCACTTTATCCTCCGCTGGGAAGGAAAAAACCCCTTCACTCTCTCTCTTTCTCTCTCTCTCTCTCATTGAAATCAGCCAGGCGGGCGCCCTCTCCAATCGAGCATGATTTCGTTACACTCTGAGCATCAAAGGAGCACATCACTCCGATGAGATCAAGCTGCAGCAAATCCCAACTCTAGTGAACCTGCACTACTTGTGACAACATAGGAGCTCAAATGTCAAACCTTGTTATTATCCAGCATTACTGATATTTGCAGAAGGAGAGAATTCAATCAAGGGGGAGCAGCTGCAAACTATCTACTTGCTCTTTATTACAGCACATTTAAAACCAAGAACTTTTACAGCAAGAGGAAGAGCTGTTATGACAAGAAGTAAAATAGAGAAAGAGCTATAATGCAGTAAGGTTATGATGTAACAGAAAAAATGCACCTCCCTCCTGTTTGTATTCTTAGCATGCATTTCACAGTAATGAGAAGAAATGCCTGATGGGCATTCTGCACTGTATGACTACAGCATCCTTCCCACAGAGGGAACTTTCACATCGACTTCAGCTGTGTTTTGGATAAAAATCCAAAGGACAAAGCCTCTGCGAGAATTGATGTATCGGTCTCTAGTGTGATATATTGAGCAAGAGAAACAAATTCAGTCTGTCACCGAGGTGAGAGATGAGGACAGCACAACAAGTGTTCAGCTTCACAAAGCCCCAACAAATCTATCCATCAGAAGCCCTCATTTAAGCTAAAAGGGTATTTTCCACGGCTTAAAGGTGTAGTTAATATCTGTCTATGAGGGAGCAGTCTGACCTGCCACATAAATGTCTTTAAAGTAAGAGATAAGACTGTGTGTTGACACAAAAGGGATTATTCTATTAGTATCAAGACAGCATCACATGAATGAAAAACAAAAATAAAGTTTTTTCACACTAAAAGCAAGTAAAATATCGGACATATCACATCACATGAAAGGACCAAAACTATAAATGTTTTAGTCTATCACTCAATACTTTCCTACTTTCCTACCCAGTCTGTGGTACCCAACTCCAAGACAATTCTTTCCTAATGAAGACACATTCAGAAAGTCGGGGTACTAAAAAGAGACTTACTAAAAAAGAATTGTTTGGCAGAGGCCAAATATCTGGACTTTTAGGTCCTGGTATGGGCTGGTTTCCTACATTTCCCATAATGCAGCCAAACGGCCTATTTCATAGACCCTCCCTGCCTGGTATATGTAAAAGTTTTTCAAACGCCACCTCCTTTGGTCATAGCATTAAGTGACTATGCAAACTCTAACTGCTGATGAAGACTGTTAGATGTGGTTTAAAGGTCTAGTAATCTTGTAAGATTAGGTCGTCAAACCATCATCACAGTTTTTTTCTCAGAGAGAAGAAACTGAGTATCCTGCTCTTAAAAAATAAATAAAAATTGTGATTAATTAATACATGTGGAGGTTTGTGACACGGAGGAATACGATATACCAAGATTTGGGTACATAGGCAATGTTTTGGTCTTCTCGTGGGATTTGTTGGCAATAAGATCATAATAAAAGTCCTTTAAAATGGAAAACACAGTGAAAATAACTATGTTACTTACATTGATGAGCTCAATCTCCCAGATCTTCTTGACCAGCTCCATGGAGGTGTAACCGTTGATGAGGAAGGACTTGGTGTAGTCGCCGAGCTCCAACGACTCCAACCACTCTGCCACCGATGTGGGGTTGTTGCCATCGTAACCGATGGGTCGCACCTTTGGTATAAACGGGAAGGAGAAAGAGCGTAAGGAGTGATCTTTCCACTTCTGTATTTTTAGCTTTTTATTACTTTTCTGCAGTTATTTACTAGAAATATATTAAATATATTCTGGACTGCTGAGCATATTCGCCTCTGCCCATTCTCTGCTTGGGTAGTTTCATGATGTAAGTTTTTGTTTTCCTCTATATTCTCATAAATATAGTGATACTGTGAGGAAATGTTTTTTTCTGTCCATATGGTGCACTGCCTTTGACCCGGAGCCTGGTAGCAAAGAACAGCTGGTATCTTAAGGTACACTCTGTACAAATGCTAACTTCATTACAGCCTACATTTCTTACATAACAAGACTGTTCAAATTCTATTTACACTATATTTGATTGCTGCAATGCACTTTTCCCCCATCTTCTGTCTTCATTCTGCTGCAACAGCCTCATTTCTACATGAGGATCATTAAAGATTTATTCTATTATAAAAGACCTTCCCTAGTTCAGCAGAGTACAAGAGATGCTGAGCTCTAGCAGAGTAAATCTTTCAGTATAGCGAATAGCTTTATAACTACATGCTGGATTAAAATCACGTACTTCTCAAATATTTGCAGTGCAAACAACTAAACACAAGCCTAACTTTTGAGAATGGGCAGAATAGGACGCCAACAGCAGGGAGTTATTGCCTTGAGTGAGATGCTTTGAGAGCGTCGCAGATAATTCATAATTCATTCACTTTTATTTTGACAGTCAAAACAACTTCAGAGAGTTTATGGTGCTTCAAACCAACATCCCACATCCCACATCCTCCACCTAAGCTGAGCATGTGTTTGCCTACGCGTGTGATGGCAGACAAAAGTTAAAGGTTTAATTTTTTACAGTGTTTTGGAAAGTTTAAGGTGGGGGGGAACTGGAGATCAAAGTTTCCTGAGTGTCTGTATGAAACCTGCTTATTTCTGAGCTCAGATTCTCCCTTTTCTTTCTGTCCTCTCTTATGCAGACTCCTTTTTCTTCTTCTCTCTCTCTCTCCATACAGTCACACACCTTTGATCTTACTTTCTGTATCACACAGACATGAAAATTCATTCGACACAAACTTTCCTGTAAGTCTGTAAATATTTTCTGTATTATTTCAACAGCCATTGGTCAATTTTAAGCAACTGTTAATTAACAAATCAAATTTCAAAGTGGGTCTATATGTTTTGATCTCGATGTGAATTTTACAGGCGCAAGACAGTGTGGATTTATTAGTGTAAGCAGTTTTCTTGCACCATTTAATTCAATATGGTTTGGACGCTGTGATCTCCAGTAACGTCTTTGTGTGCCTGAATCATTCATCCCCTTGATGCCACAAGGAGTGTGTGGCTGTGTCTGTATCTGCAGAGACCCTGCCCTCGGCCTGTATTTCTTATTTGCCATTTGTTGACGTTTCTAGGCATCAGCCTTTGGGCAGTGGGTGTGTAGCTCCCAGCCAATAACAGTGTGCAGGGTGTGAGGGCGGGAAAGTACAGATCGGCTACTAGATCTTAAACACACATCTAAGAGGAAGCGTTAAGCCGGGGAGGTGGGGCTAACTTTGAATGTTGTGTTTACACGCCGCAACCGAAAATACATTTCATATATTATTCATATTTATAATAACCACAGATTAGAAAGCCCAGATTTAGTTCACGTTAATCAGAGCTTGCTGAGATGTTCTTGTTGGATGTATTAGCTGCAGTACTGACCCTGGGCAGCAACCGGATGGCCTGCAGGAGGCGTTGTCTGTGGGCCGAGTTGAGGATCCCAATCTCCAGCAGGTCCTGGTCTTCCACCACATTGCTGCCCTGGAGAGTAACAAAACAACAGCTAACGTTAGCATTTATGGAGCAGAAGAGGGCAAGTTTGATATTCTTATTTAAGACTCTGGCTCACACGCAGCAGCCTGTGAGAGTATCATTCAGAGTTTCACCTTTAATTAATCCAATGGGAAACCTTAACAGACCTTTCCGTCATCCCCCTTCCAGAGAGTAAGAAAGAGTCTTCATGCAGACAGATAATTAGAGGAAAGGAGGAAATCAGGGAGGGATTGGAAGAGATGTAATGTGCGTGAAGACAGCTGCAGCAATGAGAAAGTCAAGTCAGCCAGAAATACCATCAGAAACATAGATTCTGACAGAAGTAAAAAGTAAAGTAAGGTAATCATCAAAATGATGGTAAAGAAATAGCAGGAGAGGGACCGTGTGACCAGCCTGGAGGCAGTCTACACACACACACACACACACACAGTACATACACAGGTGTAGAAGTGAAGGATTACAGTTGTCAGTCCCTCTACATATCCTTCCTGTCAAACTAATAATAATTATAAACATCCAAGAGACGATGAGAAGAAAAAGCAGGTAGATAGCAGATATCTGCTTTCTCCTCCCTCTACTTTACTTTACTTTTGTCCTGAAGTTGGCTCTGGGGACCGCTATGCCCTCCAAAAGGACATTTTGCCTTGAGGCTGTGACATTTTAATTCCAGATAGGAGATAGCTGTCGTTTGTCTTTCACGGCAGTATCTTGAAGAACGTTTGCCAGAGAAATCACCGTTCAGGTTGCTTTACTTTTGAGAATCCAGATATTCTAGCCAAAGCTACGAGATCAGCACACAACATTTACATTGTAACTGGAGGGCTTTGAACTGTCCCAGCCTACAAACAGGTCGAGACTTGACAAGCAACTTAAATATCAAACATAGAAGAAAGGTGGAGGGTTATTCAGGAAATATTGGAGCAGTGCTGGAGTAAAAATTATAGTAACCAGAAGGTTAAAGTCCTGAATCCTCTAGGAAAGGATTTTTTGAGGAGCCCTTGAGCAATCCATCTGAGCTGGTCCTGAAGACTGCGGTTGTTTACTGAGCATTTCCCAGAAATGAATGTGTGGATCTCTACTTAAAAGGACCAGTGTGTAGGATTTTGGCATCTCCCCGTCCAAGCTCAAAGGAGAAACTACGATGGCCCCATTTAAAGCCAGTATTTGTTTGCTACTATAGAAACATGGCAGTTCAACATGGCGGCTTCCATGGAGGGCGACCCATGGCATCTGTAGATATAAAAGGCTCGTTCTAAAGTAACAAAACACAACTATTGAATATTATATTCCATTTCTGTTAATAGTTCCTCCTAAATGTTACACATTGGACTATTAAATATGAATAATAAAATGATTGACAGCTGGTGGCAGCAACATGGCAAAGAAATGTAGCAACTGTTAGCTAGCAATATTCATATAAACATCTAGGTTTAAAAATACTGTAAAAAATTTGCTTTGCAAGTGGTGACAGATGAGGGAGTAAATGCATCTTGCAAGAACAAACAAAGAGTTTTTGTAAGAAACACTGAATTAACATTCAAATCAGATCAAACAGGACATTAACACATAGCTGATTGACCCTCGTACTGTATGTGCAACATACTGTACGCTTGGAATATCTGGTACAGTCATCTCAGTGTTTTTCTGACACCTATTATTAATGAGTGCATTCACTATTGGGTAGAAGCATATAAAATAACTAATTATAGTATCTAAAACGATCTAACCCACCCACACCTTTTATTCTGAAGGTCAAAGGTGCATACTGAAAATTACTGTTTTTATTAATGCATCTTTTCTGTGCTATTCCAAATGATTTCTTCTCCTCAGTTTATAAATCCATGTGCACAGACTGTTAAACCAAACACACGGTCTATTAATCCATGCTCTCATTTTATTAATCCATGTACTTGTGTTTATTTTCACATCATGTTTTGTACCCTCTGTGCCCAGGCAGATTGTCTAAACTTTACCTTGAGGAATAGAAGTTTAAAATGTCAACAGACTTTGGAGAAAAAAAGCCTCTTAAAAAGTGAGTGATGTTGCTGCAAGCTTATTAGTTTAACTTTGTCTCCAGGGCTCCACTAGTCTGTCACTGTGCTGCTGCAGCCGCTGATTGGGCTCATCCTGTGGCTAAACTTATTCCTTCCACATTCTCCTCACCAACCTGTACACCCAGGCCCTCTGTGAAACGAGTGCAGTTCATAGATCAGCTCCCAGGCTGATTAATAGAACACAGTCCAAAGCTGAAGTAAGTTAGAGTTACCATGCTCCAACTTCGCAGGAGAATAATGACTCACAGAGTCAGCGCAGAGTAGAGTGTGGGGGGATGCATAACTAATTGCTCCCTGTTGGAATCCTGATAGGAAGAGATTGAGTTCCTTAATGTTTGTTCTTTCTCTAATCCTGTCCTCTTTCCCATTCTGTCTTGACATTATGCTTGTCCCATATCTGCCACTTCAAAGTGCACATGATGGATCAGTGGATAAATATCACATGGATCAATGTTACTTGAGTTAGGATAAATGAGAGACAAGCCATGTCATGTCTGTACATTTTCTAGACTCAGCCTTTCCTCCTAATGCCCACATTGTTCTGTTTTGTAAAAGTAAACACAACTATTCTATCTTGCAAATGTATGATAAATTCACTTGGTATGCAGCATTGGTATAAACACTAAAAATCTATTTTGCTGGTGGCGGAAAGCGTTCAGCATCCACAGTGTTGATAAAATTGCCATGGCCTGTGGTATGCTTGTGATACTTTGACCACATCGCTTAAAAACGCCGCCGCAGTGGGTCACAAACACTCGTGGAGTGTAGGATTTAAAATTCATGCACAGCAGCAGGGGGTTGAGGCAAGAATAGATATGGGGCAAAAAATTGATATTCAGCAATGGTAGTGAAGGCCATTATCGGCACCAAAAGGCTTAGATGAGTACTACAAATCATGCTCGGCCTACTGTATCTCTTGCTCTTCCTCTGTTCTGTTCCTTTCATGCCTCTGTTCATCCTTCGCCTTTTCTCTCTCGTCTCTCTTTCTGCTCTGCTATCAAAGAAATAGTCCTTTTTTCTCATAGTTTTGTTGCCTCTCTCTTATATATTCGTCTTTTCTCTGTCCTCGTTTGCACTTTTAGTCTGTAATTCCAATTCATTTAGGTTTCTTTACAAACTTGTTGGTGTTACATTTATCTTTTTTTTGCAGAAGTGAAGAAGCACTGACTTAAATTTCACCAACATGGTGGCAGTTTGATAGTCATAAGAATGTTTCTTTTAGAATAATAAAGTCCTTTATGAGGAGGATTAGAGGTGCCACCTTTGAACGAGATGTGGATAATGGCAAAATTTCATTTCAAATATTGTTGTTTCCTCCCTCTGAGGAGCAGTTGGGTCGAATTAATTTCTCTAGCCTCACGGCTGCTGTTATCTGCTGCTGTTTCTTTAGTATGCGCTGCACAATATCATGCTTTATCTCTTCGTTTCTGCTATCTATCTAGTACTGCCACCCATTTGTTTTTGTAATTCCATGTACAAACCCAACCCCGCTGTAGCTCTGTCTTCTATCTTTCTTTCAATTTATTGTGCTGCATGAAGGCAGCTTTTACATGAAATTCTTTCACCGTTCACAACAGTGTTTGTGTGTCTCAGTGCTTCTGATTCTTGACGCTTACGAGATTTTATCTCTCAAGTGAGCTACAACAAATCGTGTTTAATCTTTCTACTATCAGCCTCAGTCTGTCTCTTCCTTCAACTTCCATATTCTGGTCACATTTCTAAGTGTCTACGCTGGCATGCCATGTTTGGTGAGGAGTGTGTGTATGTTTGGTAGGACGAGTGTCGAGGGTCCAACATTTAGTAGGATCTATTGGCAGAAGTGGAATATAATATTCATAGGTATGTTTTCATTAGTGTATAATTGCCTTAAAGTAAGAATGGTCGAGTTGTTTTTTTTTTGTTCCCATAAAATTAGCCATTTTTATCTACAGATGGAGCGGGTCCTCTTCCATGGAGGCTGCCATGTTGAACCTACATGTTTCTACAGTAGCCCAGAACGGCCAAACCAAACACTGCATTTGCATTTTTCACTTCACCGCTAGATGCCACTGAATCCTACACACTAGTCCTTTAATAGGGACAGTGTGACTGCAGTCAGAGTACTAAGCAAAGTGAATTTGGCTCTTTGATACAGACGAGTGCCATAAAGATTCCTAAGATCCACCGTTAAGTGGTTTTGAAAATGCAAGAACCTGAGACATTGCTTTCAATAACTTTTATGATTAGATGCATTTGTACGACCTTGCAATAAAAACAGCTTAATATTTGAAGTCCAACTGTAACCACAATTAGTTATCCCTTTTTGTAATCAAAATCATGTCAAAGCGACTTTTTAATTGTTTAAAGCTGGTATAATATAATATTCCTATATAGACAATGGATGATATTACAAAATGATGAAATGCGTGATGGACTTTCACTGTTTTGGTTCAGTCCCACTGCTCTAATAAGCACTTTTTCCAGACCGGGTGTGCAGGCAGCTGTTTTCAGTGAAAAAGCTCCAATAAGCCCATTGTGTGCTACCTGACCAGCAAAAAAAAAAAAACATGGTGAACAAAGTGGTGTATTTAGCAGCTGAAAGAGTCAGATATTTCCCTTAAGAGTTGGTGTAGACCAAAACAGAGCTAATACAGAAATAGAATTTCTTTCTTTAAAGCAGAAATAATCAATGTTTTTACACAGGGATTTATCACCAGACTACAGTTCCTCCAAAGTCATTTAGCTCTTTAAGCTCAAAGTTTTGGTTTTACAGCCTGCAACTTTACTGTTCCAGTCTCATTGCTTTAATAAGTATAGTTTCCACAAGTAGCTGTTTTCAGCAAAAAAGCTCTCCTCAACCCACTGTAAACTATCTGCCCAGCACCGAACAGAAACAGACAAAGTTAATGACTTGTTGGTGTACATAGTGGAGTATTTTTTAACCCTCAGGCATTGGTAGGGTAAGTAAATTGTGTCTAATTAGCTTTCCCTGTTAGCTGTTCAGCAAGCCAAAATGCAAGACAAGGTGTGTGGCTTTGTTTGTATCAGAACAGAGATTAGCAAGAAAGCTAATGTGGATAGTGGCTCGAAGTCAATGGCTCTTTTTAGCGCTGTGTTGCAGCTTCTGCATGTAACACACACAATACGATCTCCCTATATGAATCCTTTTTCAGCTCCACTTTCTGTCTACTACTCTACCTCTCCCTCTCTCACACACACATACAGTAGGCATGTGCATGTACAGTCATTTAACATGGACGTGATTAGTTTCCATCCAGTGCCCTTCATATCAAACGTTGTCTCCATAACAACCACTCCGCCCTTTTGCTATTTGTCCATCAGTCTAGGAGCACTTGTCCTCTACTGGATGGCTAAGGTGACCAGACACACCCCCTCTAATGACCCCCATTAGTGGTAAATGGTAATGGGAGATTGGACTAGTCCATGTTTATGTGTACATGTGAATGTATGCATACATTCCTGCACAGCAAATGCAGCCTTTGCACTGTCATACACTGATACAGATCAGACTCTAGGTCAAACTAATTTGCAAACCAATCAATTCTACAGATGAACTTGAACTGGCCCTGAAAATGAAAAAAAAAAATTAACTTTTATTTTCTAATGCGCCGACTTGTTTCAGTCTGAATCTGCCATTTAACCTAATTTCCCATACTGAGTGGTGCTGAAATGAATTTGACCCAAACCTCTCCTTGAAGAATCCACAGCCAACAATAATAAGGAGTGCTGCAAATACCAATGTAATCCCCGTAGTCCATGCCTCAACTGCATTAATATCAATTTGTGGTAGCCACTGAGCTTTCCCAAGGTCGGAAAACACTAACCGTCTTCATGTTTAGTCCTGAACAATAAAAAAGAGGTTAAAAACTCCACTCGGCAAGTGGGACGCAAGAAAAACTTTAAACAGAGAAAGACCCGGAGAGAGGCCCAGTCACAGAAGGGACTTTGAAGTCATCTTAGCTGTTTCATCTTAGCTCTTTTCAATATTAATTGTATCCAAAGGCATTTCAGAGGAGACAACTGAGCTATTGAGAAACACTTTGAGACAAGAGGGGCGAGGACAGGAGAATAGAGAAGTCTCTCAGAAGCACTGCCAAAAACCGTTAGCGACTATAAACTAGGTGCAAATGAGAGTAAAATACGTTGGTACGCTGACATGATGGCATATATGTGTGGGAGTGTAAATGAATGGAGGGTGCACCTGGGGACATTATTAATAGAGAAAAGACATTCTGAGCTAAAATAAAATACTGCTTATGTGAACACTATGTGTTCACATGGACAGTCAGACAACTGCAGCAATGATTCCTACCTCGACACATTCATCTGCTTACAACTGTAGGAAAACAGATCCAATATAAATACACAGCAAGTGAAAATTTTTTTTATTTTTTGAAGACTTCAATATGAGACAGCAAACATTTGGAAGACGTGATCTCTGCTAATAGAAAACAAGTTTAACTTAAATCAGATCTGAAAAGGAGAGGTTGTATTGATTTGGTTAGTCTGTGAATTCCTCTACTGACAGATGACAGTAAAAGGTATTTTTGAGAGTGAAAAACTAAGAAGAAAGAAATGCTGTAAACTGTTTCAAGTAACTTTTCAATTTAGTGTAAAACTACATTGTGTAATTTCAAAGGCCACACTCTATGGAGTGTTTTAGCTCTTTCAGTTCATTGTTTTTGTTCGATTATGGCTGCTTTCAGTTTTAATTTAGTTACATTTTTGGGTAAGAGAGACACCCAAACAAATTTGGAAAAAAGTCAAAAGGTTAATGATGCAAATATTGCAAATTTATAAAACTTTATAAATGTATATTTTTCTGTAAAAAAAAAACCTTGCCTAGCACAGATTATGGGTAAATAATATAAACTGTTTACAACAGCCTGGAATGCAAACTATAAAGAATATGTAGAAAAGGATAACTAACATTTATGCTGGAGGCATTACTGTACAAGGATTTAGAGGGAGGAGAAAGTAATACATAGTAAAAGAGATATTTTTATTTTTTATGTTGCAGTGTATTTCTCCTCTCGCTTATTTTATGTTATCAATAAAAAGCTGTTTCACTCCATGTGCTAGATTATATCGACACTTTCATAATGCAGTCATTTTATGTATTATTTACTTTATGCACTTGCTCTGGCAACATGTTTTTCGATCAAAACATTATGCCAATAAAGCTTGAACTGGCATAAGGAAATAAAGGAGGAGTAAGGAAGGAGGACAGTAAAAGAAAAAAGAGAGGGTGGAAGGAGGAGAGTACTGACGAGGTCCGCATGTTGATGGGTTAGTAGGAAGAAATAATCAACCACTGCAGAGTCGGAGATGTTTAAATGTAGATGAGCCAACACAAGGTCCTTAAACGCAGAATTAACAGCAATTTTCTACCTGCCCCAAAACCAATTCATCTGTAATAAATACTTAAAAAGGGAAAGAAAACACCCTTTAAAAGGATGCTTGTGAAGCGTGGCCAAAAACATACAGATATACACTGACCACGTGTGGGAGAAACACACACAAAAAGAAACAGAGATTCTCTAATTTCCTCCTGTTGCCAGGGTAACCAAATGAACAGATGCAGGTCACACTGAGTGGAGGACCAGATCACACAAACACACACACACTTACACACATACATAAAAACATATACAAATGCCTACATATATTTTTAGTTGACTTCACGGCAGGAAAGAATATTTAACTGCTGCAAATGATGAAACCTATAGGTATGATTGCACAAAAATAAAGCAGCTGGCAGCCTCAATGTGAGAAATGTCAAATATACCAAACACTTTCTCCTCTACAGGTTGGTAAAATACTCTAATACTATTAATAGTTTTATTTAATAGTTTGCTTTTAATACATAAACCTCAAAACATTGTTTTAGTCCTGAAAAGTTGCCATTTTTGAGATATATCCCGCCCCCTCCCTCCCCCCTGCCAACAGCGATAATCTGCAACTCCAGTTAAACTCATTCAGTCAGCATCCCTCTGCTAAGTCTCCGATCATTCTGCCCCTGCTGCAGTTTCTCTCAATTTGGCATCATCGCTTCCCTTCGCTTTCCCCTCTTTCGTCGTTCACTTACCCTCTCTGTCTCCCTGTGGCTATAAGTCTTACTAACCCACGCATGTACACACACCCACGACAACATCAAAAGAGAGTTTCTGAATGCAAAATGACCCAGTGAGTTTCTCTTCCTACGTCACTGTAGATGAAGGAACCATCAGATAAAACAGAGGATCAGGTTGCATCCTGATCCACAGGCTACAGGTGGTTGTATTTCTGTGTGCGATCATGTGGTAGTGTATGTAAAAACCATGAAACAAGCATGGTTTAAGCATGCATTTTTAGTGTAAAAAAAAATAGCATTAGCATGTATGTGTGCAGCTTGATGCTGGAGATAGAGTGGCGTAGGATTTCTGTGCGTAGGAGGAACCTCACATGGCATCAGTGGGGAGAGGCAGCAATGGTTGCAAAGGAAGAAGGAAGAAAGAAGAGGATACAAAGAGGAGGAAATTGAATAAATTAAAGAGATCAGAGTGAAGGAGACACAACTAGTCATGTTAATCACTGCAAAGAAAATGATGAGAAATAATGAGCTACACCTAGGGGAGCAGAGAGAGCTTAGAGGGAGGTGGGACAAACAGAGAGATTACATTTAAAGCACACAAAAATAGAAAACACAGCCAAAGCAAAGACAAAAAAAGAACAAGAAAGGGAGACCAATGTATGAACATATCCCATCCTAAACTCCCAGCATCAAGATCTCTCCAGCCTCCTTTTTTTTCTTCAAAACATACAAACACACACTAAAAACACTCACCATAAACTGGACGTTGTCAAATCCATTGGCCAGCAGGTGGTTCTCGTACTGGACCAGGCCGATGGAGTCGAGCCACTGGCCCACGGACTGCAGCGGGCAGCGGGGACCTATGAGGGGGTGGAGGGGCAAACGCTTCAGTAGGGAGTAGCCGTCCACGCGGTAGCAGCGGCAGTCCGGCTGAGAAAGCTGGCACTGCCACATCATGTTATGGCGGGCAAAGTGGCTGTCGAACGAGCCCGCCATGCTTTTGAGGAGTCTTTTGGCAAGGCAGCAGCAGGAGGAGGAGAATAATGGGGAGGAAGGTAGAGGGGGGGAGGGAAAGGTGAAGAAAGAAGGAGGAGGAAAAGGAGGAGGAGGAGGAGGAGGATGGAAACTTAGAGACGGCTGTTTTGCCTTGGATACAATAATAAAACACACACAAACACACACTCACACACTCACGCACACATTCAAAGAGTGAAA